CTAAATACTTTTTTTCCCCACTGTACATAAAATAAACTATATATTTACATTGGGTATAGCATGTGTGAGAGGGAGGCATGAATTTCCTCAAACTGCAAATTAAGCAATACTTGTTTTACAATATTACAAATCATACTTTGATTGGATAGATATTTAGAGTAATTATGTAGATATTGATAATGGATATGCAGGCGTAGATATCTCCAATCCTAAAATAAATTGGAGCATACATAAAATAAACAAGTAATGACAATGTATTTACATTGGGGATAATGTGTGTGACAAGAGAGAGTGAGTGTGTGTGCATGTTGTTTTATTTGTCCTTGTCAGCCACCCATCTCTGCGTTGTCAGTCTTGATAGGCCCAGTTTATGCACCTCTGGTTAAGGCAGTGGTGCAGTGCATGGCACCTTAGCCAAATACATTTAAACTCAGTTTTTCACAATTCCTGACATTTAATCCTAGTACAAATTCCCTGTCTTAGATCAGTTAGGATCACCACTTTATTTTAAGAATGTGAAATGTCAGAATAATAGTAGAGAGTGATTTATTTAAGCTTTTATTTCTTCCATCACATTCCCAGTGGGTCAGAAGTTTACATACACTCAATTAGTATTAGGTAGCATTGCCTTTAAATTGTTTAACACAATAAGTTGGGTGAATTTTGGCCCATTCCTCCTGACAGAGCTGGTGTAACTGAGTCAGGTTTGTAGGCCTCCTTGTTTGCACAGTATGCATGTGTGTATACATGTATGTGATATATACCTGTATCACCTGTCGCAGCCGGTGTAGCAGGTGCAGGGGCAGATGACTGCAGCTGTGAGGGCTGTGGTTGAGCTAATAGGGGTGTCAGATCTAAAAGAGAGAGGAACAATTTTCTTAAGTATAATTATACAACAAAACAGTGTGAGTGATTTGAGTGAGTGTGTATATACGTGTGTGTGGGATAATTACCTGGACCACAATACACTGCTTCAGGTCTACAAGCCTCTGGATGTTCCAGCGTGCCATTCCAGGCCTGGAACAGCTTGGTGGAAACAAGATTACCTGTCACCCACTGAGCCTGGTTGGCTGTTCTGAAAGATAGGCACAATGTTATTTTAATGACAAAGCCTTGACTACACACTAACCTAAATTAGGTGTGTGTGTGTGGCAACCATGCAGCAGACTTCATTTTCCCAACTGCTCATTGTACTTGCCCTCGCAATCTGTGGTGTGTGTGTGTTCTGTGTTATTGTGACTCAGAAGTGTGTCAACCTGACCACATCTTTGTAGTAGGACATTCAGTGATTAGCTTTGGGAAAAAACAGTGTACAGTAAAAAGGATATAAAATATTCAGCTCTGGATTGACAAGTACGCTAAATCATGTGAAGTTACAAATCTCTAGGGCTTAGTCTACACACATTAAATAAAGGATGTAGGACCTGAGCCCTAGGACCATGCCTCAGGACTGCTTGGCCATCCCTGTCCCCAGTCCACCTGGTCGTGCTGCTGATCCAGTCTCTGCTGTTTCTGTCTGCGGCTATGGAACCCTGACCTACTCAGGACTCACCGGAAGTGCTACCTTGTCACAGTACTGCTGTTTGATCCTGTCTCTCTACCAGACCTGCTGGCTCTCAACCTTTAATTGCTCAGCTATGAAGAGCCAACTGGTATTTACTCCTGAGGTGCTGAACTATTTCACCCTCTATAACCACTGTGATTATTATTTGACCCTGCTGGTCATCTATGAACGTTTAAACGTCTTGAAGAACGATCTGGACTAAATGGCTGTACTCTTTTATAATCTCCACCTGCACAGCCAGAAGAAGACTGGCCACCCCTCAGATCCTGGCTCATCTCTAGGTTTCTTCCTAGGTTCCTGCCTTTCTAGTGAGTTTTTCCTAGCCACTGTGCTTCTACATCTGCATTGCTTGCTCTTTGGGGTTTTAGGCTGGGTTTCTGTATAAGCACTTTGTGACAACTGCGGATGTAAAAAGGGCTTTATAAAATACATTTGATTGATTGCTTGTATATGCTTCTATTCATGTCAGTAACTCTAAATCTAAATTTGACATCGAGTTATCTTACATTTCCTCAATATGAAGTTGTACCTTAAGCCAACACTTTCTCTTGGTCTTTCCTGCTGGGGACAGGGGGCTTCAGGTTTGGGAATGGAGGGCCTAGAGAATTGTAATATTAACAATAATTAGTGGCCACATTGAAAATCTACCACTGAACCACACAATTCTATCTAGTGAGAGTGCACACAACCATTAGCTTATTTTACCAGGTCAAAAATAACACTTTATTCAAGGGAGACCTGGCAAGTAAAATGCATATCCATAGCAGCAGCTATGGTATGGATAAAGACAATGTGACATCACCACAGCTGCATGAATGTGTGATCTCTCTATAATATTAGCTAATTTTACAATTTCCAGACCCAACGAATAACAGAACAGTAGGAAGGATGTATTGTAGCCTACTGTCCCCATCAACCAACTACTAGCTAGTGAAAAGGCTACGTTGTTATCATTTAGTAATGTTGTACTGTAACGTTACCCCAAATCAAGTAACTTGCCAACTAGTAGTGACAAGGCTATATTGTTGCCATTAAGTAATACTGTAACAGTACTGTAGCCTACTGTACACCACATTAACCACCTAGCTAGTTAGTGATAGCTAGCTAGTTCCAAAGAAAGAAACAACCAACGACATCAACAGGCTTTTAAACAAAATATCAATAATACCCAATAACGGCTTTATAAGCTACAAATTAGTACCAAATATCCTCTATAAATCACATTGGCTGCACATGGCAGTTGTTTCAGGTTATTTCAATTGCATTAATCTCTCTATTCCGCCTGTTCTATCTGCCTTGAGCGCTATAGCGAACTTGTAACATTGTAAATGTAACCCCTAACCTGTGTTCACTGTCAGTAGCCATTTCAGTGAAAAATGGTCAGTCTTAATCCATTCGGATATGGGTTTCAGAGACCTATCATAATAATACAAGTCATACCAGCTTTAAAAGGTTTTATTTACAACCTCTGGGGTATAACTTGTTTTGGAAAGTGGCATAGGATAGTCTGACATGAAACCCTAACTTGAGTTCAGTCTTCGCCAATGAGAACCAAGAGGGGCCTAGCTTCGTGCCTGCCTTCAGAATTTACTGAGTGAGAAGGGCTGCATTATGTTCTACTAGGCCCCCCGCACCACCAACTCCCCTGAAGTAGCCTACTACCACCATACCCCCAATTCTTTAGTGAGGTGCACGGCTGCAGGTTTCTGTCCTCCATGACAAAGGCCCCAGAAGATCCTACATTCACCTCATTAGATCAGAAAAAAATGTATTACTGGTTTACATCCCAACATATACTGAACAAAAATATAAACGCAACATGTAAAGTGTTGGTCCCATGTCTCATGAGCTCAGATTTTGTGCACAAATTTGTTTACATCCCTGTTAGTGAGCATTTCTCCTTTGCCAAGATAATCCATCCACCTGACAGGTGTAGCATATCAAGAAGCTGATTAAACAGCATGATCAGTTACACAGGTGCACCTTGTGCTGGGGACAATAAAAGGCCACTCTAAATGGTGCAGTTTTTTCACACAACACAATGCCACAGATGTCTCCATTTTTGAGGGAGCGTGCAGTTGGCATGCTGACTGCAGGAATGTCCACCAGAGTTGTTCAAATCAAGCTTTATTTATACAGCACATTTCAGACATGGAATGCAACGCAATATGCTATATCAACATTATTATGACTAGTTTCCTGCTATTAAAAACGAAGTAAACAAAAACATTTGAATGACTCAAATGTTGGGCTAATGGACTAATCACCAGCATCGCCTGCGCCAGTGTCAGCTGGCTGGGAATACCAAATGTATACAGTACAAACACATACATCCATACATTGTACACAAAACTACTCCATTTTCATTTATCTATCTCTCTTTCTGTCTAACTGTGCAGCTTAATGACCATCTATTATAAGTTATTGCAGATAAAACACTATACAGGTAATTGCGTATTACTATTGTAGTACATCACATGAACGGCAAACAGTTGTGGAAAAAGTACCAATTGTCATACTTGAGAAAAAGTAAAAGTTGTCAATAATATAAATAGTAAAGTACAGATACCCCAAAAAACGACTTAAGTAGTACTTTAAAGTATTTTTTTACTTAAGTACTTTGCACCACTGAAGGCAAATAGAAAAAGGGTGAATCTCCTGAGGACCTACCATTTTTCCAGGAGCACCATCCTGTCCTGGGGGACCCACTGACCCAAAAACGTAAGGACCTGGGGGACCGCGGAGTCCAGGCAAAACAGGCGGCCCCTACCCCGCAAAAAAACAAACACGAGAAGACATCTTGATTAATGTACACTTAATTTTGGCCCATTCAACAACTCATGTTCCCATGCATACAACTGTTCCCCAGTGTGTTGCTGTAATACATTTTGTGTTCTCAGTCAACTGACTTGGTAAAAGAGATAGTGGACAGACTTCAAATGCAAATTGGGCTGTGGGCTACTTCTGTCAATGTTTGGTCAGAGGCATACATACATCTGTAACAGGTTCAGGGTGGTTTACACAAGTGAAATGTGCAGTAGACCACTAGCTGAACCAGCAAGGATGATAAGGAAATATATGGCCTTTTGGTTATCAGCGGAGTGAAGAGAACTGGACCCACCAGAAATGTTTCCAAGTCAGGATACCCAGATGCCTCCATGTCCACAAAGGTCTGAAACAAAGAATGTGAAATTGCTAATGATGCATCATAGAAGTTAAATGTGGGGACAAGCTACTAAAATAATGTAGCTAAAATAATTATGATTGGTCTCAACAGAAAATGTTGTTGTCAACAACCCTGTTGTTGTCAACAACCCTGTTGTTGTGGTTACTTCAGCGTCTTTGCTAGTTGCAAAGTCGTTGCAGAGGCATCTTTTAGACATACATATGAAAATGACAATTAATTGATTGGGGTGAATGTGGACTCACCAGCTTGTCAGCTGTTGATGGCACTAGGGGTCTGGGGGGCCCGGGAGGTCCGCCGGGGCTTGGCTGGCCCACGGTACGTCTGCGGGGCCCTTGAGGTCCACTGGGCCTGACCACGGTCACCCTGTGGAGCCGACACACATGAGTAGATTTGAATGGAACACCTAACTCCCAGGCTGACTGTGAAACTTCGAAAAGGGTTCTACCTAGAAACATAAAGGGTAATCCTACAGGGTCAAGCTAGAAGACATTTTTCTAACAGCAGCGATTGGGATATGAAGTCCAGTTCTAGGAGACTCCAGGCCAAACTGGGAGAGTTGACAATCCTATCATCAAGGTTCTTTATTTGTTGTCCCTTATCTGTTATTGGCTGTCCAGAGACAAACATCCCATTCAGGATATGACATAATAGGTAGATGCAGGACAAATAATAGAAGAAAATAGAGTAGGCTAAATTCTCTTTTCTCTTGATACCACCACCACATCCACTGTCAGGGCTGTGGCCTCAGCTGCTATTCCCTGGTAAAAAATTAATAAAATAAAAATCAACCAGCTTGCTTCTTTGGAGTTGGCTCAATTGTCTTGCCATTTCTAGGACAAAAATAGAGAACACAATAAATATGATGATTTCATTCTGAATTGGATTGACAGAATAAGGCACAAGAGCCAATTATATAGCCAGTTTGTGAATAACACACAGCTATGGGTTATTCTAAAGGCGTCCGCATGCTTCCCAGCCTAAACATTTCAGAAGAGTATGTGTATATATTATGATTATATTTTCTGATGTTTTTGTTCGTTTTGGGCTTCGGTAAGGGTTTTGTCGACTGGTCGGGCACACTACATTTTTTCTCAAGGCCAGCCGAAGTTCGGGAGCCGAAGTCAACAGCCCTTCATCGGTGATTGGTCAACAGTAGGGATTCTTCCATAAAGTCTTTGTTGTCATTCAACAAGAGACGACTCCTTTCTAATGCACACATTTTTTTTCATTGAGAATACTGCACCAAACATCTTGGTTAGATGTACAATTGTGCGAATAAAATCTCCTTGGCAAAAACGTCAAAATTAATGACAGATGTTTTGAGTTATCTAATTGTGACAATTTTGAGGAAGTGTATACTGGCTATGGCGTCTCAAAATGGACAAACAGTACTATTGCCGCTTTGTTCTTGTTTTTCAAGCAAAGTTATTTTAAGAGACTATGAGAGCACACTCGTTCGGTTCGCCTAGCTGACGTCAGCTAGCCGCCAGCCGAACTGAGGCATGATGACGCCTTTAGCCACAACGTGAAGTCAAAGAACACCTTTCTTTCCATATGCAGTTCCTCTGCTTAATATTGTAGCGATCCTCACTATATGAGGCAGGTTACAATTCCTACAAAGTGGGTTAACCCTATTGGAGCTATGCGTAGGTTGTTTGCCTTTCACACCTGCTGCCGGATTCACTTCCCTACCCCATGGTTTGCTACATTAGTGTCAAAAGTGGGGTCTGAACGTGTGAGGGGGCTGTGTAGTCATAGCACTGGTATGTGCCTTCCCTTTCGGAGGGGCATTGTAGCGATCCTCACTACCCTTACAGAAAAACCACCTGATTTCACACGTGGAAAATCACACAATTTAATGTGAAATCATGTGAAACCGTGTTTTTGGAACACTTCACGTGATCACGTTTTCATGTGTAGTTTCATGTTATCGCATGTTGCTTTACATGTTGTCACATGTTATCACATTAACGTCACATATGATCACGTGATCACATGAAAACATGTGTTTTTGGTTTTTCCTTAATGGTATATAAACCATGTTACAATTCCCACCAAGTGGGTTAACCCTATTGGTACGATGCATAGGGTGTTTGCCTTTCATGCCAGCAACCCGAATCTGCTTCCCTTCCACGTCGTTCACGTGTATATGCCTCTCCGATGATCAACACCCCAACCGTTACACAAAGAGGTCCGAACCTCTTGACAAGGTCGCTAGGTGTTGTGTTAAGGTCGCTACATTAACCCCTCCTACGGGAGAGCGTGTCCCCACGCCCCTCTACACCAAGTCCCCCATGTGTACATGCCTCTCCGATGGCCTCACAGTCCCCATCCCACTTCTGACACCAATGTAGCGAACGGCAGGGCAGGGAAGCAAACCCGTGAAAGGCAATCATCACGCCAATACGGTTAACCCACTTGGTGGGAATTGTTATCGCTAAAATATTATGAATAGATCTAGGCCTATAAGTACTGTATGAAGTGATAATAATTACACTTCAGGGCTTAAACTAAAATACGATTGATGACACTTTATTTGAAGCCAACAACAGGTATATGTATGAAGTAATGCACTAATACAACTACTAACGTAGCCCAATATGTAAACTTAAGGAGCTTACTCAAGGAAAATTAAAAAATATATATATATTTTATTAGTCCCAAAATATATAAATTGTAATAGTCCCAAAATGTTTTGCATGTCAGCAATCAAGTTTTCAAGATACAGGTATATAGCTTTCAAAATACAGAAATACATTCGGTATGATGCATTTTGCATCATATGATGCATTTTGCATCATATGATGCTGCGTTTTGCATCATATGCAAAATGCATCATACCGGCTGTATTTCTGTATTTTGAAAGCTATATATATTTTTCGGGTGGAGTTTTCCTTTAAGGTCCAATGACCTTATATGTTCTTTTCAGAGGTAAACTGGGTCTGGCAGCCAAAACAGCCCATACAACTGCGATACGGTTTGAGAAACATAAAGCCCTTTACTTTCATATCCAATTCGTTTTCCTTGTTGATTCAACGTCATCACATGAAATGCTGTGGAAACAACGCAGATTGAACTCGTTTTTGCCCAGTGGGGTGGCTCAGCCTCAGGCTTGTTTGATTCAGTTGGGCGCATTAAGGAAGTGATGCTATGTTTCTGTTAATTGTCATGGTTTTTGAGTTTGGTACAACGTGTTGGAAGGTTATTTTTCCCACTGAAGGCCTAGGTCCAATAGTCACGGTTTGCCACTGACCACCACAGTGACAAGAGTTTGTGGTCCTCTGTAGCTCAATTGGTAGAGCATGGCGCTTGTAACGCCAGGGTAGTGGGTTCGATCCCTGGGACCACCCATACGCAAAAATGTATGCACACATGACTGTAAGTCGCTTTGGATAAAAGCATCTGCTAAATGGCATACTATTATTATTATTATTAACCCTTTAATAACAAATCTAACCCTTTCTTTCTAAGAGTGTAAACAGAAACTTGTGGCAAACAGATATTTAAATCTGGATGTCCAAATAATCTTTATCAATGCATTTAAATTGATGCAGTGTGCCTATCATATGGACTACCTATAGGCCAAGCCGGCTTGTTGTCTAACCCTGGGTCATTTTACTCCTCCATGTTGTGCCAACCACCACTTCCTGAACCCACCATCACAAAATGTCAAAGTGATATTTATTCCAGGAATGTGAATCATCCAGCGGGATGCTGTGACATACTGATGGCCATTTTGGTGACTTATCCCGCCAGCCTTGCCCTGGACCAGATTCTGAATATAATCATGTTGACACTTGTGTTCTGTTTGGTTTCCAGAATTCATATGAGAGCAAATGACAAAACCAGGGCCCTAGGGGGAGCTGATGCTAGATCAACACTCCTGCTCTGAGACCTGTTACCAGTGGCGAGCGGTGACAGAAATCCTCACGCTTTCAAGACGAGTTCGATGCAGCCAGGGTATAATAACATTTAACAATGTTATTACCGGGCAATCACATGGGGTTGCAGTTTGGGGAAAAATCCAAAGGAAACAGAAAAGGGTGAATATTGACAGTCTTACACTTAAATTTTATTGACACACACAAAAACAATCCATATTATTATATTTTTTCTTTAAATAACAATAGACTATTCTGATGTTACCATAGAATAAATAATCAGCAGTGCTACTAAGAGTTTTAGTCTGTGTCATCCTCACTCAAACGTTTTCAAACTACTCTCCTAACGTCTTTCTGTGCTCAAGTTGATTGGGTTGCTGAAATGTCTTATCACAACCATCTCCATTATTATCTCAATGTATTAGGAATTTCTATAGTTTCACACATTTTAAGACTGACAAATAAATACATAATACTGGATAAATAAATAAAAAGTAATACATAACACATTATTTGGCATGTATATAATATAATATAATACTGGTGAATGCGTTTAAACAACATTGCAAATCTCCAGTGTACTGGCAAAAAATTATGCTTTACTGTTATATAATTTAGAATGCTTTGAGTTTGCAATACTCCCATTGATTTATCCGTGTTTTGTGATTATCACTCAGCTACACAGCAATTTCAGGAAATGTACCACATGAGGCAAAAACAATTTTTACAGCGGAAATTACATAACATGACATAACATAATGGTCAAATATAATTTTGGCTGGCTTTGCCATTTGTTCACTTTAGAAGATATTCCTTAGAGGGTCTGAAAAAAAAGAACAGAAATGTTGCATCGTAATATAAAAACATAATAGCATGATGTGTGCATGATGTCAGCCTCTGTCTCCCTGTGTTAGAAAAATCACATAGAGAAAGTGGGGAGCATATCAAATGAGTATCATATTATTAATAATTAATTAATATTTAAAGTATATCAACTGAAGCTAATATCCAGTATCTTAAAATACCAAAAACTCACAATTGTTTTGTTAGAAATTAGCATAGAAATGTAGTACTGTACATCAGTTAAAAACGCATTAAACTAGCATGGTAATATCCAAGCAGGGCCTACTGTACCAATGAAAGACTATTGAGGAGTTCATGAATTGAGATGTCATCACTGGTTTGCTGTGAGGAAGGCTCACTCCTAATGGATAATTCTGGAGTAGTAGGGTCCTCCAAGCTAGAATGCAAGAAGTAAAACCACAAAGGAGAACAAAGTAGTTGTAATAGACATTGGACATACATTCAGGCTTTATACACTTTTTAAATGATCTTGTCCAGTCTTTTATGTAAAAAAAAAAAATGTAATTAAGAAAAACAGATTTTTTTAGGGCCTGTCCAGGTTCCTACCTCCTCTTCCTTGACAGCGCTGAATTCAAGTATTTCTTGATGGCCATCTGTTTTCCGTAGCGGCTGTAGTTGTCTGTAAATACAGCGTCTGAGTGGCGTTTTACTGGCAACTGGTCCTCCATGAGGTCATTACTACAAATGAAAATATAATTAGTGAACAAAAAATTATCTATTACAATCAAATCTGATCAAAGCAAGTTTTACTTGTTCACTGGTTTACACGTTGTACAATGATATACAAGACCTTATGAATTGTTGAAACATACTTGGCATTGTTGAATACTCGTTTCTGATTGGCTTGAAGAGCATTATAGAGTGTGCATTATTTCTCAGTAATGCACGACAATAACCAACGGCTATGAAGTAGTTTCAGCAAAAACACATCAGTCGTTCTTTTTACCTGGTTGCTAGACAAAAACATTAGTTACTAATTCTACTTGTTTATGATTGGCTTGAAGGGCATTCTAGGGTATGCATTATTTCTTGGAGTGTGCACTAATAATTCAGATAGAACTGTTAACAGGCATTTGCCCACAGATTATGGTCTGTGCTGTAGCTATAGCTGATAGAATGTTGCAAGTGGCGAAACCAACATTCTTACATGTTATGTTTCAGCTGATCGTTCAAGCCGAATTAAAAACACTATTGGCATTGTTGAATTCCATTTGTATAAATAGTTAGCTAGCCAATATTAAGGAGGACAAATGGTTTGGTTAGTCACCAAGTCTCTTTGTTCTGTTACGACGGCACTTTACTGTAGCTATATACAGTAGTAAACTTGCTAGCATCTTCAGTGGATGTTGAACACATTTCTACCGGCAATTGTGTGTGTGTGTTAAATTATAATCGCAGTATGGTCAGGATAATCAACTCGGGGCTCTATGCGTTCTCTGAAAATAATGCAACCATGTGGAAGGTTAGTGCCACTTCTGATCGGGCAGTACGGACCTGCACAGGGCATTGTTTCAGGGATCTCTGCCATATTCAGGGAGATTCCAATCCATAGGGACTCAAAATGTTCAGTTTGAGGGGAACTGCAACCTGGGCATTACCACAATGACCAACCGATGGTCACTACACAGGAATAATTATCCCCAAAGGCCCTTCTGATTGACTACTGGGAGATTTGAGGCAGCACTAGAAGGGATAATTTTTGGGAAAACCATGGCAGACATTATTGTTGCTAAAAACACAAACAGGGAATATTTTACATTAATTCAACATTAAGTTACTACCCATTGTAATGTTCTTTAATCCTAATCATGTTGCAGTAATTAGAGAAATGTGGCAATATAAGTGAGATATAACTTGTCTAAACATAGTCCCTCACGTACTACTAAGACCTCATGAACACAATTGACGAGTCAGTCAAGCCAAATCGCAGTGGCATTACATCGGTAAAATGAATTGATCGTCAGGATGAACTGGCAGGAACGCAAATGCGACATTGTTGTGATAAACGTCTGTGAACTTCTCAGCTTTAAAACTTTAATTCAAACCATGGGTGTTTATTTCGGTCAACCTACCTTAGAGCTATTTGATATTTAACATACTGATTGACTACATCGTGAATGTTAGAAATAGAGGTATAGACCAAGATAAATTAGAGTCCCTCAGACCACATTTTATGGTTACTATATGAAAGTTGTACCTGACTCGCTTTGCAATCAAGGATTCAAGGTAGTCCTTGGCCGAAAGCTTTCCTAAAAGTTTGCTGTAGCCACTTGTGAAGAGACCATCTGCGTGTCTTGTTGGTCTAAAAAAAAGATTCATAAAATGCTTTCACTAGATTCAGGACAAAATCTGTTAAGTGCAATAGTCACATTAATTAACTTTTGATTGTTGCAGACAGTATGTCACAGTCACAAAGTGTTAATTGCTGGTGACAGGCACTTCAGAACGTTTGACATCTAATGCTAAGAACTTTAGCCTCATCAGGTGGTATCCACTATTTAGTATGCAAAAGTTAAACTGTGGGAACCTGAGTAGGTTGGTGAATCCTGATGTGAGGTCAATGTTGCCTTATTAAACTCCAAAGCTATCTGTAGACCAGTGGTTCCCGACCAGGGGTACTTAGCCTATCCACAGTGGGTACTTGAGAAGACTCATGCGACCATAGGCCTACTGGTAAAATGCACATGAAATAAATTCAGTTGGTAGTAGAGTAACCGAAAAAAGGTTGGGAACCACTCCTGTACCTCATCTGTAAAAAGTATTAACTATACTGAACAAAAATATAAACGCAACATGTAAAGTGTTGGTCCCATGTTTCATGAGCTGAAATAAAAGATCCCAGAAATGTTCCATATGCACAAAAAACTTATTTCACTCAAATTTTGAACACAAATTTGTTTACATCCCTGTTAGTGAGCATTCCTCCTTTGCCAAGATAATCCATCCACCTGACAGGTGTGGCATATCAAGAAGCTGATTAAACAGCATGATCATTACACAGGTGCACCTTGTGCTGGGGACAATAAAAGGCCACTTTAAAGTGTGCAGTTTTGTCACACAACGCATTGCCGCAGATGTCTCAAGTTTGGAGGGAGCGTGCAATTGGCATGCTGACTGCAGGAATGTACACCAGAGCTATTGCCAGATAATGTAATGTTCATTTCTCTACCATAAGCCACCTCCAACGTCGTTTTAGAGAATTTGGCAGTACGTCCAACTGGCCTCGCAACCGCAGACCATGTTTATGGCGTTGTGTGGGCGAGCGGTTTGCTGATGTCAACGTTGTGAACAGAGTGCCCCATGGTGGCGATGGGGTTGTAGTATGGGCAGGCATAAGCTACGGACAACAAACATAATTGCATTTTATCGATAGCAATTTGAATGCACAGAGATACCATGACGAGATCTTGAGGCCCATTGTCATGCTATACATCCGCCGCAATCATCCCCTGTTTCAGCATGTCGCAAGGATCTCTACACAATTCCTCGAAGCTGAAAATGTCCCAGTTCTTCCATGGCCTGCATACTCACCAGACATGTCACCCATTGAGCATGTTTGGGATACTCTGGATCGACGTGTACGATAGCGTGTTCTAGTTCCCACCAATATCCAGCAACTTCGCACAGCCATTTGAAGAGGAGTGGGACAACATTTCACAGGCCACAATCGATAGCCTGATCAACTCTATCGAATGCAAATGGTGGTCACAGCAGATACTGACTGGTTTTCTGATCCACTCCCCTACTTGTTTTTACAGTATCTGTGACCAACAGATGCATATCTTTATTCCCAGTCATGTGAAATCCATAGATTAGGGCCTAATGAATTTATTTCAATTGACTGATTTCCTAATATGAACTGTAACTCAGGAACATCTTTGAAATCATTGCATGTTGTATTTATTTTGTGTTCAGTATATATTACAATTATCCTACACATCTCCTGTACATATTCTATCATAATGTATAATACTGCAATGATATCTGCTGTAGATGATAGCCAATTATCAATTATCATTGGCTAACAACACTACACATTTTATTTTTAATTGTAATACAGATTTGGCCCATCAGAAAAGACAGCGGAACAGATACCTATATAACAGACGTGCATTAATATCCATAGGAGGAACCAATTTCATTAGATTCTGTGCTGAGAAACATAAGTGAGGGACTGATTTCATCACAAACCATTTTGTAATTAAGTGAATGTGACCATTACCTTGCAATTATATCATAGAGAAGTTTAAGGGTTTCCATGTCATTTATTGACAGGCTCTGCTCCCAGTCACCCTTTCCATCTGTCTCAACAGTCCCTGACCTATAGAATGGAAGCAATAAGTGAGTCCATCGTCACATCAAATTCAATATACATAATTGACCAATTACATTATTTATTATTTCATTTCTCAATCGCTACATTGTCGAATTCACCAAATGTTTTATGTGATAATGTTTTTCTTTTGAGTTTCTTCTTAAAAGTTCCTTTTAAGAAATTCAGGATGGCAGAGATGAATCTAAACATACAGTATGTTTAATACACACCAACACTTTCCAATCAGAATCATTTAGCTAGACCAGAATAATTTACACGTTGTTTTAGTAGTGACAGTCATATGGGCTATATGGTTATCATAAACAAGATAATGAAAATCTGTCTGTATTTTTCAGCGACTGTAACAAGACGCTTTTCAAGTCAGCTTTTCATTAATTTAGCATTAGGAATATATCAGAACAGAAGTCAGAACAAAATCATAAAATATCGTTACCTGACTGAGTACGCGGCGACAGCAGGTAGACTCATGGTCCTGGTACACAGCATACTGCATAGTGCCATCAAAAAAAGTCGATGAAAGCAGTTTGTCTGTGCCATAACGCTCTGCACATGCAGAGACAGAATAACAGCATCATTTTTTTCTCCTTCTTGATCACCATTGCGACAATTACTTTTCATCATTGCTGTTAAGCTTAACATTTTAACTAAATTAAATTAAAATATGCTGTCTTGTGTTTCCATAAGTAAATCAGGTTGTATATAGCACAATGCAATAGACTCACCTGCATCAACAATCACAGTGGGTAGGCTGGGTTGCTGTCCACGGTGCTGAAAGCAACGTTTCTGTATTATTCAAGCCGTGGTTTGGATCTGGTCAAATGAACCACCCCCTTTCACTGACTCTGTATCTATTATTTCCTCGCTTTCAAAGTATGGGACGCAATCACAATAGTGACGATACGTCATCATAACAATTCCCAATGCGCTCGTCACAGGCTTATTAAGAACGGACAGTCCGGACTTCGTAGTTGGCCCTGACATCACTAGCCAAATAGGTCAGATTTCTACAGAAGGCAGGGCTAAATGTGATATGATGATGGCCCTTCTGATATTAGTATTGTCAAAATTCATTCTGTATAATTGTCTTTACAATTTTCCATAATGGAGCCCACTGGGCACACATTGATTGTATCAACATTCTTTCCACGTAATTTTAATGAAATTATGTTGAACCAACGTGAAATAGACGTTGAATTGACGTCTGTGCCCAGTAGGAGGCTTATTGTTGCACTGAGTGTACAAAACATTAGGAACACCTTCCTAATATTGCGTAGCCCCTTTTGCCCTCAAAACAGTCTCAATTCGTCAGGGCATGGACTCTACAAGGTGTCGAAAGCGTTCCACAGGGATGCTGGCCCATGTTGACTCCAATGCTTCCCACAGTTGTGTCAAGTTGGCTGGATGTCCTTTGGGTAGTGGACCATTCTTGATAAACACAGGAAACTGTTGAGCATGAAAAACTCAGCAGCGTTGCAATTCTTGACACACTCAAACCAGTGCACCTGGCACCTACAACCATACCCTGTTCAAAGGCACTTAAATATTTTGTCTTGCCCATTCACCATCTGAATGGCACACATACACAATCCATGACTCAGTTGTCACAAGGCTTAAAAATCCTTCATTAACCTGTCTCCTCCCCTTTATCTACACTGATTGAAGTGGATTTAACAAGTTACATCAATAAGGGATCATAGTCATGGAAAGAGCAGGTGTTCTTAATGTTTTGTACACAGTGTATGTTCAAAAAGACATAACAGCCTGTTTTTGGCCTTAGTCAGTACAGTTAATTAAATATTATTTACTTGCATTCCCATCAATGCTTTAGTACCACAATTGACATTTAAGTGGATCATAACACAGTAATTATTTATGCTACAGAAAGACAGAATCCCAGAGCACACAAGTCATCAGGGCCAATCAAATTACAGGACACAAGACAGCAAATCCAATTCTATTTCACATTGCCCTTTTGTGGACAGAGTTCCCAGATGTACAAATGACTGTTTTGGTGCACATCTCCAGTTGCTGCATCTCTGGTTTAGGTGAACAGTTGTTAAGATTAGACTGGTGGTCAGACTTTCTTACCTTTTAAACATTAGCAAATGATTGACAGCCAGGAGAGAAGTGACAGGCTTTGGTTTACATGACAGTTTATCTCAGGCTCATGCTGCCCAACTGTTCCAAAGGGAATTATCAAAAAGTAAACACATTCTTTTTCAAATAATTTCCTTTACAAAAACAAATCACACTAAGCCCTGGTTAGTCAGCCACCAATTGTGCAAGTTCTCCCACTTAAAAAGATGAGAGAGGCCTGTAATTTACATCATAGGTACACGTCAACTATGACAGACAAATGGAGGAATTTTTTTTCCAGAAAATCACATTGTAGGATTTTTCATGAATGTATTTGCAAATTATGGTGGAAAATAAGTATTTGGTCACCTACAAACAAGCAAGATTTCTGGCTCTCACAGACCTGTAACTTCTTCTTTAAGAGGCTCCTCTGTCCTCCACTCGTTACCTGTATTAATGGCACCTGTTTGAACTTGTTATCAGTATAAAAGACACCTGTCCACAACCTCAAACAATCACACTCCAAACTCCACTATGGCCAAGACCAAAGAGCTGTCAAAGGACACCAGAAACAAAATTGTAGACCTGCACCAGGCTGGGAAGACTGAATCTGCAATAGGTAAGCAGCTTGGTTTGAAGAAATCAACTGTGGGAGCAATTATTAGGAAATGGAAGACATACAAGACCACTGATAATCTCCCTCGATCTGGGGCTCCACGCAAGATCTCACCCCGTGGGGTCAAAATGATCACAAGAACGGTGAGCAAAAATCCCAGAACCACACGGGGGGACCTAGTGAATGACCTGCAGAGAGCTGGGACCAAAGTAACAAAGCCTACCATCAGTAACACACTACGCCGCCAGGGACTCAAATCCTGCAGTGCCAGACGTGTCCCCCTGCTTAAGCCAGTACATGTCCAGGCCCGTCTGAAGTTTGGTAGAGTGCATTTGGATGATCCAGAAGAGGATTGGGAGAATGTCATATGGTCAGATGAAACCAAAATAGAACTTTTTGGTAAAAACTTAACTCGTCGTGTTTGGAGGACAAAGAATGCTGAGTTGCATCCAAAGAACACCATACCTACTGTGAAGCATGGGGGTGGAAACATCATGCTTTGGGGCTGTTTTTCTGCAAAGGGACCAGGACTGATCCGTGTAAAGGAAAGAATGAATGGGGCCATGTATCGTGAGATTTTGAGTGAAAACCTCCTTCCATCAGCAAGGGCATTGAAGATGAAACGTGGCTGGGTCTTTCAGCATGACAATGATCCCAAACACACCGCCCGGGCAACGAAGGAGTGGCTTCGTAAGAAGCATTTCAAGGTCCTGGAGTGGCCTAGCCAGTCTCCAGATCTCAACCCCATAGAAAATCTTTGGAGGGAGTTGAAAGTCTGTGTTGCCCAGCGACAGCCCCAAAACATCACTGCTCTGAGGAGATCTGCAGGGAGGAATGGGCCAAAAAAACCAGCAACAGTGTGTGAAAACCTTGTGAAGACTTACAGAAAAAACGTTTAAACCTGTGTCATTGCCAACAAAGGGTATATAACAAAGTATTGAGAAGCTTTTGTTATTGCCCAAAATATTTATTTTCCACCAAATTTGCAAATCAATTCAAAAAAAAAATCCTACAATGTGATTTTCTGGATTTTTTTCTTAATTTTGTCTGTCATAGTTGACGTGTACCTATGGGTTCAAACACTAAATACGCGAAATCATTTTAAATACTTGAGCTTGCCTAGTGCAGCAATGAATACCTTATCATACCTTGTCCATAGAATGCTTACAGGGTACGGAATTGAATATTTCATTTTGTCATTTGGGTGAATGACCCCTTTAAATACATTTGTATTCATATAATGAGCACTCCAGAACCTTGCCTATGAACAGCCAATGGTTTGAAGATCACCCATCACATCCTATACACAGAATGTTTTGGATGGCAGGGCCAAGCTAAATTTGTCACAGTGTGAGGGCAGGAGTTGATTCATAGTGACATCAGGAGTTGATTCAAAGGGACATGGCAGTCACCCTGCAAAATGCCATCTGTTATGTGCCCACCAGGAGATGGAGAAGGTTAAAAGCCACAGAATGCCACCCCTCATAACCTGCCAACACATTGATTTTTTGTCAGAATGGCTGTAACCCCGGGCAACCATACTGCTCATTGACTGGACATTCCAAATTACCATAGCAATTATTCATCACAATAGTTTGTAAAGTGGTTATCCCACTGGCTATAGGGTGAACGCACCAATTTGTGAGTCGCTCTGGCTAAGAGCGTCTGCTAAATGACGTTAATGTGCCCTTGAGCAAGGCACTTAACCCTAATTGCTCCTGTAAGTCGCTCTGGATAAGAGCGTCTGCTAAATGACTAAAATGTAAATGTAAATGTAAACCGTGGCAATTTTGCATCACAATAGTAATTGTATTTATATTGTGTAGGGCAGGCTAGTAAGTTTTGCGATCATTTTCTAAGTTAAGCAATTCAAGACAGTTCAGGAGTCAAATATGGGATCATGTGGGATCATGGGATCATTAATCCACCGTGATTTTACTGGCCCGGTCGCAGAGACTTTTATGGTCACACAAAGTGCCACCTGTAAATTCAAAATGAGTAGCCTAATTATTTTATTAAATTAAAGGGCAATTCCACTCTCACATATTTTCAAAACTTTTATTTAGACAGATTCTAAATTACAAGGGGATACTGCGGTAAAGAGGAGAGAAATTTCGATTGAACCTCTGTGTATGGTGAGAAAGTTGGAAGTCGCATATGTGTTGAGTTACCACTCAGCCACAGCTCAGTGCCGCCAATAAACATTTTCGGAACCAAATACTTTTTCAATATTGCACACATAGGGTGACATTTTGCGTGCGCAATTGGCAGTTAGCACAATAATCATAACATTTTAAATAAACGGGATGTTTCGAACAGCTTTTTAGCAGCATGAATTTGTGCTTTGAGTGAATGATTACGTGACGGTTGCAGTCCGCAAAGATGAAATTGCATTGAATCGAATGAATCAGGTCCATTGATTTAGTACCCATAGAGTGGGGTGCAGCTAGTGTATTTTAATGAATCATGACTGTAAACTAAACTGTAATTAAAGTACAGTAAACTTTTGATTTGTTCATCAAGCAACTATTGGCCGTGGGGAGGTGGTTGTGGCATATTTTTATGCTGTGCCGTCATGGCGCACATTGCTTCTCTAAACAAGCTCTGGCTCAGCCGTAATTATTCTCCTGAGACAAATCTCCACATTTCCTGGAACTGATGGTGAGGGTGCACCCAGGCCAGGGCAATGCAGACAGGAGAGAAAACACAAAGAAGGAAATTACAGTCGAATTACTCCCTTTCCTTTATGTCCCTGCTTCTGCCCTGTATCTTCTTTGCACTGTTCTCACAGTCCATCATTGTCAACCACAGGGTTTCTTAGTGCAATTCAAATAGTACCCTCAACTCTCAGGATCGATTATTTGATAATGTGCACTTCCATTTTATTAGGCATTAATATTATCCCCAAAACAAAGTATTTCTTGGCAGATAAGATACATTGTGCATTCCATGGTATTTTGAGCGTTATGCAGCCAACATTCTGCCCTGTCTGGTAATTCCTTTTGAAGAGGTAATCTCACAACTCCAGTGGATTCAAACTTTACCACGCTGCTCTAAGATTTGTAACCAACACAAGATATCTTACACATCATTGTACCTTATATCATCAGTTAGCAGAATGGCCACCCTTAAAGGAATTACAGCCTGAATTTAAAATGGATGAAATGTAGATGTTTTTGCCACTGGAAA